TACAATAACGCAAAACGTGCTGAAATAAACCATCTGGAGAATATATTTCTCTTTCTGAAACGCTGATTATTTTTTACAAATGTTTGAGTAGTTCCGTAAAAAATGCACTTATGCGGCAGAAAAGCGGTACTGGCGTGGGTGCCTACAGGCCTCTACCACACCATTCAGTGCCCATAAATGGCTTAGTTATAGTGATATAATAACATTTTTGGTACATTATATTGGTTTTATTAACGAACAAATATTAATGCAATAATTTAATAGTAAAAAAAAAAATTTAAATTAAAAAAAAAATTTATTATTATTTTTTTAAATTTTAACCTCCTTTATTCTATACGTAGGTCGTTTAAGAATACCTCAATTGTAAAAATGGTATAATTATAATAATAAAACTTAATTAAAAAATATTTTGCTAAATATCTTGATTTTTTTTTATTTAACGTTTGCAATTTAACACTGTGTTTTGAATATTTACTGATTCTTAGAAGTAATTAAAATTTTTATATACTTCCCAGGAAATGAGTCATATTCATACCTTTTTTATAAACTAAAATAATATATACCTAATCTGAACTATATATAATGAATAGCTACCGGGTTGTTTAGTAAAACTCATATATCACTAATTAAAAAATTAATTTTTATTTCCTCTATTTTGTGCAGAAGTTGGACTATATCATAAATAAATAGGAAATTTTAATATTGAATGAATTATTCTCTATGCACAAAGAAAGATATAAAGGGTGACCCTATAAGTTCTTCTATAAACCAAAACTGATTGTTTGGATTTGATCTCAAAATGAGGAAAAACGTGAACTTAAACGAGAAAATTGGAAAAATACATTAAGCGAACGAGAAAGGAAGTGCCAAAACCTCGGAATAGATAAAAAGGACCAGTTATATCCATTATATAGCTAAATGAATGTATAGTAGATAGATGAACAGAATATTTCAAGATGCTGCTAAAACGGGATCAATTGCAGTATGGATGATATTAAGTTGACGATGTAGGTTTATTATGGTGAAAACCACTTTATTTTCGATTGCTGAAGGTGCACATCGGGACTATATTAACTTTGAAGATGAATATAGAGATGTACATCGAGAAAGTTATAGCTCATAGCTTTCCTTCTGTTTAGTGGATTTTCAAAAGATTTTTTAAGGTATCTTATATTAGTTGTAGCTCGTTATTCTTCTCGTTATTCTTGAATTGTTCGGAATTTGTACCATATCATAAAAAAATAGGAAATTTTAATATTGAATGTATTATTCTCTCTGCACAAAGAAAGATGGAAAGGGCGAAACCGAACTGCTTTGACAGTTTTGCGCGTACATAGGCAACAAGCATATTAGAAAATAATATGAAAGGACTGTGGTTTTTACCTTTACATGAAAGGAGGTACTAGGAAATGTAATACCCATCAAGACCCATTCCTGTTTAGTGTACCAAACAAATTATACACAAGAATCGTAGAAGCTGGAATAAGAAATATTGTCGATTGCCAGAGTGATATGGATTGAGAAACTCAAGTTGCACATTGGAAGAGAAGTTGAAAATTGGGACTGTCTTCACTTTAAGGCAGGTTATAGAGAAGTCCACATAAAAAGAAAAATAGCTCTCTATCTGCTCAGTGCCTCACACTTTGGATTATGCTAATATCTAACTGTCTTTCAGAAAAACTCGTTTTCCTTTTAGATCCCTTAAAAAATCTTTTGAAAATCCACTAAACAGAAGGAAAGCTATGAGCTATAACTTTCTCGATATACCTCTCTATATCCTGCTTCAAAGTTAATATAGTCCCGATGTGCACCTTCAGCAATCGAAAATAAAGTGGTTTTCACCATAATAAACCTACATCGTCCACTTAATATCATCCATACTGCAATTGATCCCGTTTTAGCAGCATCTTGAAATATTCTGTTCATCTATCTACTATACATTCATTTAGCTATATAATGGATACAGGTCCTTTTTATCTATTCCGAGGTTTTGGCACTTCCTTTCTCGTTCGTTTAATGTATTTTTCCAATTTTCTCGTTTAAGTTCACGTTTTTCCTCATTTTGAGATCAAATCCAAACAATCAGTTTTGGTTTATAGAAGAACTTATAGGGTCACCCTTTATATATTTCTTTGTGCATAGAGAATAATTCATTCAATATTAAAATTTCCTATTTATTTATGATATAGTCCAACTTCTGCACAAAATAGAGGAAATAAAAATTAATTTTTTAATTAGTGATATATGAGTTTTACTAAACAACCCGGTAGCTATTCATTATATATAGTTCAGATTAGGTATATATTATTTTAGTTTATAAAAAAGGTATGAATATGACTCATTTCCTGGGAAGTATATAAAAATTTTAATTACTTCTAAGAATCAGTAAATATTCAAAACACAGTGTTAAATTGCAAACGTTAAATAAAAAAAAATCAAGATATTTAGCAAAATATTTTTTAATTAAGTTTTATTATTATAATTATACCATTTTTACAATTGAGGTATTCTTAAACGACCTACGTATAGAATAAAGGAGGTTAAAATTTAAAAAAATAATAATAAATTTTTTTTTAAATTTAAATTTTTTTTTTTACTATTAAATTATTGCATTAATATTTGTTCGTTAATAAAACCAATATAATGTACCAAAAATGTTATTATATCACTATAACTAAGCCATTTATGGGCACTGAATGGTGTGGTAGAGGCCTGTAGGCACCCACGCCAGTACCGCTTTTCTGCCGCATAAGTGCATTTTTTACGGAACTACTCAAACATTTGTAAAAAATAATCAGCGTTTCAGAAAGAGAAATATATTCTCCAGATGGTTTATTTCAGCACGTTTTGCGTTATTGTAGGCCGTTTAATTACAAACGACGCTTGATTTGTAACTTGAAAATTTTTTTGTTAAAAAAATTGAGATTACTGGTGTTTTTCATAGCCTTAGCCAATTATTTTTTAATATTTCTTCATGTTTTATTATTCTATAACTATTCAGCTTTAATAAAAGACCAACTATGAGGAAATTAAGCTTAATGCTGATTCTCAGTGACCAAAAAACTAACTAAAGTCAAAGTCGTCAATCCGCCATCTTTGGACGCCATTTTGGGGCAGTGCGTTCACTTTTTTTTGTGGGAACATTGGCTTTTTTTTAATAAATTGTTACAAGGAACACAACGATATGCAATTTATAGGGATGTGGGGGGGGGTGCACGGTAAGGGGGTCTGGCCCACAGACTATAGTGCAAGGAGGGGATTTGTCCTAGATCACCGTCAACCGCCAGATTTTCCTCTTAATTAATTATTAATTAATGAAGGGCACCCACTTTATAGAGGCTGGATATGCCCCAGGAGGGTCTACCTACCCCAGAATCGCCCAACGGCCAATGGAACAGAATAAATAATTTTTCGGCCTGAGCCGGGATTCGAACCTTGGACCTTAAGCTCTGGAAACGCAGTACCTTAACACTGAGCTACCACACTCCCTTTCTTTCCTCCACTCGGATAAGATATCTGATGGTTATTTGATACGGTTACCTTGATAGTGTGTGAAGTATTAAGTATTTCTTAATTCAATATTTAATATGTATTATTTATATTTATTTTAACTTGAGGTCAAATAAAGATAACATGAAATGGTTAGAGTGACTCCATAACTCGGTATATAAAGAATGGGTTAACCCAAGTATGAAGGGTATAAATCTTCATTATACACTTCTCTGATGAGAAAATTTGAAATTACCATCAGTATTTTTTAAAAAATGTTAATTTTTAACGCAATGTATATTACATTCCTAAGTAAACCTAAGAAAAAAAAAATACCTACTCGAATTCAAACATTTTTTAAATTCTTTGTACTGATTATACGCAGAATTTGTATGTTATTTTCTCTTATATTTCCAAAGCAAGAATTTTAAGATAATATTTTATTTTACATGAATGCAGAACAATATTGAAAGGGTAACTATTTATATGACCACACATAATATAAATATAATTAACTTAATAGAAAAAATAATCAATTGGTGTAAAAATTAAAAAAAGACTTAAAAGTGTCATTTTAAATATCATAATATATAATTCCAATCTAAAAATTGTTCTGAGTACTAACGATTCAAAAAAACACCCACTAATCCGAAACCAAGATTATCGATAATTTTTGTTTTATTTTGTTTTATTTTTCAGAATATAATGATTGTATAACCTAATTTTAACATTAATTACATAACTTGAGACGCATTTATAGAAGAATAAAATAAAAAGTAAGTCGATAACTATATTAATCTCTTTCACGACATAACAAAATAATTCATGCCTCGGTTATTCATGAATGTTATACACGTACATTAACTTTGTGTTACCTTAAAATTATTGATAAAGTTAATTAGATCCAAATGATATCCTTCGTCAAAAAGCAAAAATGATTATCGATTTAATGTACCAAGATTTTGAACAATAAAATAGCATTAAGAGTAGGGACATTGAACAGAAAAAAATAAAGTTTGGAATACGCGAAACTTAATTTCTAAATTTTCTCTTGGTAACACTGTGGAGTGCTAAAAAAAAAAAGTTCCTCGCTTTAGCATCCTCGGGTCTTGCAGTAGGTTGAAATTTATTTTGTGGCGAGCCCACAAAATGAATCTCAACACTCCCTCTCTTGTTAAAAAAAATGCTAAGAATCTCTTGTTAAGATTTGATTGTCTAAGAACAACCCCGTATGTGCCAGAAATGGTGTGGTTTGGAGTAAACGAAAAAAAGAAAACAAATTCTTAACAAACAGGCAGAAAAAGTGGGGGAGATCAAAGATATGATGCAACCGAAAATAAATAATTTAATGTTAAAATTTTCGTTTAACGTTCTAAATTTAAAACTAGTGAAAAAAAAATTATTGGTTGAAAAAACTTTGTGATTCTTTAATAATCGTCAAGTATGGTTTGAATTGCTGTTAAAAATAATACATATATGTCAAGAGCTGTATATTTTATGAAATCTATATGCTAAACTAGTATATATATATTAAAAGCACTAACCGTCCACCTGAAGGTAAAGGGTAGAAGAAGGCTGGCTGAAGCTGGGTCCTCCAGGACAAAGCTGCCAGTTCCTAGGACGGGGCTTGAAGTGTTGCCGAAGGAGCAGGACCCCTGGCTGGTCACGTTACTCTGGTACTCCTTTAGGCAAAGCCTGAAGAGAGTCCGGCAAGGGTTCCTGCAAGGGGATCGACCACCGCCTCCGCAACACTCACCGTCCATCGTCGTACCAAGAGGATTGGAAAGCTCGAGGATCTGCAGCTCCAGATAGCCCGAGCCGCTACTATCCTGAAAACATAACGAGAGCTATATCAACGTAATATTAGCAAAAGTTTAATGTTGAATAATCCACTGTTCTGTCCGTTATTGATTGAAAATTTTGTTGATGATTTTGAGAGATTTTTCAGAGGTTTTAAATCTCAACTGAATCGATGCAACTCTATGGTATATATTTTGTCTCTATTAAGAATATTTGTATAGATATAGTATTTGGTTAGGTGTGGATTTTGAAAATCTTATATTGTATAAAAAGTAGAAAGAAGATAAATTGGAAAAAAACTTGTGAAGGCAATACAGCTGTAAATCTCCTGAAAACTGTACAAAGACAATCTCGATGAATTTTTTAAAGAAATGTAATTGTATATGTAATGCTTCCAAATACAGAAAAGCTTTATTTACATGTTATAACACATGTAACAGATACACTGAAATGCTATTCAGGCTACATAACTATTAGCTATAGTTCGAAATGGAAGCAGATTTCGGATTCAATTTTTTTTGGACCCTAAACCTTTTTTTTTTTTTTAATAACGGTAACTACAGGGACAATAATGCTATTAAGTGTAAAATGTGTATATTTTACACTATAATTTTAAAAGAGAAGATATTGTGGTTATGTATTGTGGTCAGATCATGCATAGAAAAAATATGTAACGATGAAAAAAAAAATATTATCCTATTCGGAGAGAGGGGGGGGGGATGCTGAAGCTTAAATGTTTCCCTTGAATCCGCCAGCGATTAGGTATAATATAAATAATTATCTTTTCAGTTTTATTTTGACTATTAATCACGATACGATTATTATTATGACTACTTTATATTACACCTGTCTTTATTTTAACCATTCTCGTTCATTCTCGTTTAACTCGTTAATTTGATCCTTCGAGCTCAATTGAATTTTTACGTAAATTAAAAAATTAAAGAAACTATTGAAATGTTAAAAGTCATACATGTAAAACCCCTGAATAGGAACTATTAAAAACATATATATATTGTAAATAAGATTATAAATGTATTTATATATTAAATAATAAATAAATAATGCCTCAGTACATCACTTAATATTGTAGTAAACTGCTCATGTAAATGTTTATCACTTAAGGAAAACTAATCTTATAATTATCGACACGAAAAAAAGATTCCTATTTCAGATAGATAAGGATCATTTTTGCAGTGATGCGTACTGTTTAACCATCTCGTCATTTACGTATAAATAAATTAAATGATCAACTTGGGCACAAATTGAATGTAAACCATTGAATTTTTTCCAGTACGAAAAGCTAACGATTTTGAATGAAAAGTATGACTGTGGAATCAAAAGCAGATCAAAAGATGGAACAGATTATTTTTTTTTTTTAATAATACGTAACGTAATTTACCCAAGGTTATAATGATTATTGCTAAAGTAAGAATATAAAATATTCATGAATAAGCTGAACATTTCAATGCAGCAAATGCACAAGCATCGGATATGGCGGTAAGGTGAGCGATTCTGTGAACAGCAAATTAGAAACGTTATCGTTCAAATAACGGTGTCCTAAACGAATTTAGAGTCCAGTTTAGGAGATAATAAATTTGGACTACGGTACATATGGAGGATCTAAAAGGTAACTCATCATGGCGCCGGGACAGTTACAGGCAATCGCCAGTCATTCAATTTATTCTCAGAAATATCTCGATTGAAGACTGAAGGTAGATGAAAACTTCGAAGGAAGTTAAGATAAAAAACGATAGAATCTATTAATATTTCAAAAAAAAAAAAATTAGAAGGATAGAAGTTTAATTTTTCCAAAGCTTGCATTCTCAAAAACACAAACTGCTATTTTATTTAACGGTGCACTCTATTTACACACACACACACACACATATAGATGTTAGTAAAATTATAGTTTCTTCTCGCTACTTAATTGGCTTATTTTTATTACTCACTGAAATGAAATATTTCTATTACATCGAGTCTATCGTTTAAGTAGTATTTTTATAAATTATTAATTTATAATATATATATATATATATATATATATATATATATATATATATATATATATATATATTTACAATTCTAAAAAAAAATTTCTTGAAATAAAGTGCGATTTTATATCGGAATTGCCCAAGCGTTGATTGGTAAGTTATTTAAGAATTTCTTGGGCATTTTAATGAAATATTCAAATAATAAATTGTATAATTGTAATATATAAATACATTTTTGAATTATAGCGCATTCACTTCACCAACTACACGTAAGCACTACAACCATTGAAAAGTCTTGGTTTCAGTGCTATGTAGGGAAGGTACTGTTTATTGATCAACGGTTGTGCCAGGAGGTGATTTGACCGAGATCACGCTCAATCGTTAGGTTCCCCCCCTAAATTAATTATGTAATTCAAGTTATCAAATGTATAGAGACTGGGTGTTTCCAGGAGAGTCTGCCGATCTCAGGTTCGATCCACGGCAGATGAAACAAAATAAATACTTTATCTGCCATAAGCAGAGATACCTGAAACCTTGAGCATTGGAAGCCCAGCGCGCTACCACTGAGCTACCCCATTCCCTCTAAACGAATTGGGAAGTAAGGAATGTAAGTACAATGTAGAAGTGCGGAACGTAAGTACAGTGTAGAAGTGCGGAACGTAAGTACAGTGTAGAAGAGCGGAACTTAAGCACATACCAAGAAAAAATATATAAATGTTATATCTACCTAGAAACATAATTATTCTTATAATCACAATTATTAAAAAAATATTAAATACTGAATCCCCCGCTGAATACAATTATAATATCATATATTTCTTCGATATCTAGATCCTAACCAGTACCCTGGATAGAAGAATTGAAAAATGTGAGAGTAAAAGTTTCTGCACAATAACCGATGCGATCCGGTATTAGAAAACTAGTTCATGGAGGAGGAAGACCAATAAAGAACTACTTATAGAAGCTAATCAATTAGTATCTCATGATATGAAAGAAGAATGTTAAGATGTACCTGAGTATGTGTGTAAGGAGAAATTACCTCGGAGCAAAACATCAGCAAGTCTCTAAACAATAATGAATGCCTCAATAGTAGGCTAGAGGGCAGGTGGAAGGCAAACAACCAGACGGATAGACCGAATCAACAAAGACGCTGCTGAATTACATGCACATTATTGGAAAGAAATAGTCGATACGGAGAAATAGAGAAGGTTGGTTAAGGCGGCAAAAGATCTAAAAGGTCTGTTAAGACACCAGAAACCTCCAACTTCAATATTTCTTCGGAATTAGGCTATCACGGCAAAGTTCGGTATAGCGTTGGAAAGTTTATGAAATAAATCAACTGTTTTGAAAAACATAAAGATCGTAGTTCGAAAATTAATTGAGAGTATATTTCTAAAAATTATTCATTTTTACTTGTTTTAGCTTTGGTTGCCTGACGAAGCTATATTTTCCTAAAAAGTAGTTGCCATCTTATAGGAAATTCATCGTAGATTCCGAAAATGTAACAAAAGTTTAAAAAAAATTTAGTTACATTGGAGAAATTGGGGGTAGAAAGCTTGATGGGTTGATTGGGCTGAATTACATTATGGGACACCCTGTACCTTAGAACAATGGTTATAATCGTTTCAATTTATTCATAACGTTATTACTTTAATCTGTGTTTTCTCACACCGATGATGGTCACTCATTGATATATGATCACTCCAATTAATTGTGTTCTTCACGATCATACTCTTTTATTATTTTAGGAATATTGAGAGATAACCCATCGACATTTTTCCTCTTCTCTTTGCTAAAACGCTAACACGATCGTTTTGGTTTTGAATAAAAGATCATATATTTTCAAGACAGTGTTTTGGTAAAATTGAGGCGTCCCGGATTTGTTTAATTGTTTTAAATAAGATAGGTTGAATGAAAAATACATAATTTATTGCCGGTGGGGTGGGTGTAGGGGGCGAGGTGGCCAGGAGGCGAGAGTTGGATAATTAATTGATGACTTCATGATGGCATTTAAAACGGCCACAGTCAGTGCTGACTCATCCCACGACCGCCCATCTATCACTTCTCCTCTCACATGTTTATATAAAAAAAATAATTCTTTCTCTATTTTTCCTTTAATTGCCCTTTCAAGAACCATTGTGGTGTACCTCTCCGCTCACTCTCGCCAGTGCTATTTTATGACATTTCGAATTCTAAGTTTTATTCGGATGGCTGAAATTTTAGGGGGGGGGAGTGTTGTAGTAATAGAATAAAAAGAAATCCTTATCTTTTTTTTAAATAAGCTTAAAAAATTTTTAAAAGAAATCGTTTATGAAAAAAATACTGTTAGGATATAATCATATGCATTTTTTTTTATATTACAACATGTCACATTTAAGAACAATAGTACTGCTGATATAAGAGTAGTTCATTCACACTATGTGCAATAAATAAACAGCAAAATAATAGTTCTGAAAGTAAATGTATATAAACTAAAAGAAACTGAACAAATAAAAATAACTACTTAAATAAACATATACTTTTATGCAATATTTACAAAATTCATTCGCTCAAGATCTCCGAGCCAAGCCTTTCCTCCACTCGTGGAAGAAAAGGAAGGACTCAGCTGCATCACTGGTATTAATGACCGGTGGAGGCTGAGCAGAGGAACTATAACAAGATATACATGGTTTGAGTGGAGAATCTGGTCCTTGCTAGAACTCCAATATATTCTTACAAGAGGTCTTTGGGGACGCTGCCGCTTCAAACTTCGAAGAGGATTGGAAGAATGAGTAGAACTAGATAAGGATTGTGCAAGTGAATTTGGATGATATGGAAGGTTTTAATGAAATTTGGAAATTTTTCAGGAATAAGGTGTAGGACAAATGGGATATTAAGGTCATGGTCTAGGGACTGGTATGATTAAAAAAAACAAAAAAAAAAAAAACAGTCCAGCAAATAATGTATGTATTTAATGTATCGTCAGAACAAAAAACGATAGGATCACATTATTCAGACCTCAGATAGAGAAGAATTTACAGTAAACAAAAAAAAAAGTACCATTACAACCCCTGAAGGGTCTTGGATTCAGCATTTAATAAGGAAGTACTGTTTCTAAGCCCACTGTTTTGTAGGTGCGTGATTGGGCCAGGATCACGAACAACCGCCAGGTGTGTTCCAATTAATCAATCAACTAATTAAGAGAATTCACTTTATAGAGGCTGATTGTTTCCCAGGACGGTCACCCGACCCCAGGATCGATTCATGGCTGGTGAAACAATATAAATAAGTATCTGCTTTAAACGAACTCAAGCCTTCGTCCTTGAGAATATGATTTTACTCACTGAGTTATCCCACTCTCCAGTTATACATATATGTAATGACAGTGAAAAAAACCGTAATTACGTTATTATACTGACCAACGTTTTGTCCATTCAGTAATCATGAATGAAAACCACGAAATCATATAAATGCCCTGAACGGAATAAAGCAAAAGTGAATAGCACGTCACGCGTTAACAGTTGAAAATATGTAAATAAAGAATACATGATCTCTCAAATATCATCCTTTGTCTAAAATTACAGACTTTGATATAGTGTATAAGCAAATTTAGTAAATCCATCGTCACTCCATGAAAAGTGTATACTGAACTAGATCTAATTTGCCATTCTTCTTTATAATAATAATAATAATAAGGCTTAGCGAACCCGAAGGTTCGATGCCGACACCACCAATCGCTTGTTACACACCTCCCTCCACCGTTCGCCGTCCAAACCCAGTCCCTTCAGATCGGCTTTAATGCAATCTTCCCACCTTCGCTTCGGTCTACCCCTCGGACGCTTACCATTCGGCACAGCAAATATTAACCTTTTAGGAATTCTCTCGTTACTAAGCCCAACAACTTTACAAGCCCATTTGATTCGCCGTGATGAAATTACCTCAATTATATTACCCGGATACAGCTCACGCAATTCGGCGTTGTGTAACCGTCTGAACTCTCCGGTTAACTCATCCTTCTTCGGTCCGAATATTCTACGCAATACTTTATTTTCAAAAACCTTAAGACGCTGCTCATCCCTTAATGTAAGCGGCCAAGTTTCGCATCCATAAAGAACTGTAGGCAAGATAATTGTTTTATAGATTCTAATTTTTAAGTTACGGGACAAGAGGCGCGAACTAAGTAGTTTTGTCACAGAAAAATAACAAGCATTCCCCGCCTTCAGTCTAACCTTAATCTCTTCTTCAATTTCGTTTTTTCTAGTTATCGTAGAACCTAGATACCTAAATTTATCTACCTGTTCAAACATATTACCATCTATATCGACATCACCAGTAGTATCGCCATTTTTGCAGCTAACCATATATTTTGTTTTATCCACGTTTATTTCGAGTCCTAGTTCTTTACCGGCTTTCATTAACGTTGTCGTATTTAGTTTTATAGTTTCAACGTCTTCGCTTAACAGTACCAGATCATCAGCATAGCCCAGCACGGATGTTGTCCCGCCCAGATCCAACCCTTTCTCGGTTCGCATTACCTCCCTAATGGCATGTTCTAATGCCAAATTGAACAGGACAGGCGAAAGAGAATCCCCCTGTTTTAAGCCCGAACGAACCTCAAATTTTTCGGACAAATTATTACCGATTCTAACTTTATTGAGTGTCTCCGTCA